CAATAAAACATTTTTTTTTTAATTGGCTTGAATGACAAATTTTAAATGATATCTCTCTTCTTGTCGTTAAGTGCCATGGAGTTAGTTCTGACTCACAGTGACCAGGTATAGGTTTCTGAGGTTTTTAAATCTTTGTGGGAGCAGAAAGCCTCATCTTTCTCCCAAGGAGCATCTGATGGGCTTGAATCACTGACCTTGTGGTTTGCAGTTCAATGCTTACTCTATAGAGCCACTGCATTTCCTAAATCTATCTTACCACAATTAATAATAATAGTAATAGCTCAAGAAAGGGAATGAAGTGCTTGTGGTGCAATGGATCACTTTTATATGGCCTTTCTCACCATGTCTTACTTATAATGCCCACCAGAGGACTGGGTGGGACTATGCAAATGAGGTATCTATGGCCCACTAAAGGGATTTGATGGAGTTCTGGTGCTATGCTATGGGTTAATGCGCTGGACTGCAAAGTCAGTTTGAATTGCACGGTCAGGGGTTCAAGCTTACCAGTCACTCTTTGGAAACCCTATACAGGGTTGCTATGGGTTTGAACCGAATCAAAGGCACTTGACAACAACAACAAACTTAAAAAGACTCCTGGTGTGGTGCTATAGGATAAGTACTGGTCTAGGAACCACAAGGTCAGCAGTTCAAGCCCACCAGCTGCTCCTTGGAAACCATATACAAGGTTGCTATGAGTTGGAACACACTCTGAGGCACTTAACAACAAGGCTTAAAGAAGCGATCCCAGAGGAGAGGGGGCACCTCATTACCATCAAGAAAGAAGAGCTAGGAATAAAGGACCTTTGGACCCAGCATTCCTGTGTTGGTAACCTCCAAGACCCAGAAGACAGACAGAAAGAGCTAAAACACTAAAAGGTGGCAAGACAGCAAGAAGCAGGGGCAGAAATATGGCAGTAGAACTAGTAGACTGGCAAGAGATAATATGGTGGATTTGCTGGTCCACAGAGTAAACAAAACAAAACTTAGTACCTCTGGGCAGGAGGTTTGCTGATGGTTTGGGGTATCCCTAGGCATTTATCAATGGAGCTGGATTTGCAGACCCTTGGAGCTAGAGCTGAATGCCTTCAGCCAAGGCTTACTGGTGTGGTAGGGTGCTTCTGGGCACTTATTGATGGCGCTAAAGAACTTTTTAACAATTGCCCAAGCAGGTTAGAGGCAGGACTGAGGGAGGGACAGAGAGATATTTGCCTGAGGGCACAGCTATGAAAACACTGTCCTAATTGAAGAACTGTATCCTGAGTAGTTCCTGAACCTGAATTGTAACCTGTTACTTCTCTAACCTGTTACAAACCCCTACTTGTGAGTATTGTCTGTGAGTTCTGTGTGGTCATCACAATGAATTATTGAATCCAGTAGACAGACAGAGAGTGCTGTGGGAAGGATGATTGGTGTCAGAATTGG